TAGTATTTCAGGCAGAGGGGAACAGTGTGTGCCAAGTCCCTGGAATATGAAGGACTGCATGAGAGGAACTGAAAAAAAGGCCAGGATGGCTGTAGTATAGTAAATAAGGAAGGGGCGTGGTCCAGATGGTGCAGGGCTTTGTGAGCCATGGTAAGACATTTGTGTTTCATACTAAGTGCAATGAGAAGCCATTGAAGGTTGGCAGATTAAATGTGGTACGTATATTAGTACTACCAAACTTATGGCAGGTCCTGAGAGACTTACTTTGGTTGGTTATTCATCAATACCTACAATAAATGTTTAAAGGGTACCCAGCAACCCTATGCTAGAATTATGGGTTGACAGTCATGGTAGAGAGATGTCTAAGGCACAGCCCTTCCTCACAGCCTGTGGTCCAGAAGAGATTAGATATCTACAGTGATTGAATCAAGAAGTAATGTAATTTATTCTCAACAACTGTAAACTACACACCTAATCTATTCCAAACCCTGTGCTGGATGCTGGTTGTTGCCCTTCAAGGATCACACACTGCACAGGGGTCAAGGAGAGGTACAAATGTGCTCAAAGAATTTAGAGTGGGTTATAATCACTTTCTAACCCACCGTAATCATTATCACACCTGTGAATCTGTGAGGTCTTTATAAAACATCAATTTATTCAATCATTTAATAAATCAGTAAACATCTAGTGGGCGTATGCTTTGCACCAGGAACTGTGCCAGCTACTGAAGTCAAGGACCTTAGAGTTCCATAGCAGAGACAGACATCCCCCACAAAAAAAAACATGAAAATATTAGGTGCTACAAACAGGACAGCAAGCTCTCCACAGATCAGCATTGAGGGAGGGTAATTCAATGGAAGAAGGACCTTCCCCAAATGGGAAGCTCCTAACTTCCCGAGTGCATTTGTCCATACCTTCCTTTACCTGATTACTCTTTTTGTTCTTTTTCTTTAAGCCTGATTTTTAGTGAGAGTCCTCCTTCTGACTTTGGACTCTCCCCCACTTCCCCTCCCCACCCCAGTAGACTTCATTTCCTTTGTCTGTCTTGGTATCCTTTAAAAAGCCAAAAGGCTCCAACATTTGAGCCTGGCTTCTCTGTAAGTATGGTTGTGTGTGATCTCAAACAATTAACTTTCCTGAGCCCGTTTTCCCATTTGTACAATGAAGGGATTGGATCACATCTAAGGCTTATCATTTACTCCAGTAAGTATTCACACTCTTGTACATAGTGCTCTGCACGGCCTTCCTTTCTTTGCACCGCTGCACCCATACCCCTACTCCCGTGCCACATGGCAGACACCAAGACTCAATAATATCCTATCTTACAGCAGGTCTTCCCTGTGTATACAATAAAATACATACACACACACACGTGCGCACACACAATTGTAGTCTCTCATTCCTTTACGCTACCACTACCTCGTGAGAGGACCACAGAATGAAAAGGGCAAGGGAGGTATAAGACTTGGGTTTGGGCCGGACGCGGTGGCTCACGCCTGTAATCCCAACACTTTGGGAGGCCAAGGTGGGCGGATCACAAGGTCAGAAGTTCGAGACCATCCTGGCTAACATGGTGAAACCCCACCTCTACTAAAAATACAAAACTTAGCCGGGCGTGGTAGCTCACGCCTGTAATCCCAGCTACTCGGGAGGCTGAGGCGGGAGGATCGCCTGCACCTGGGAGGTGGAGGTTGCAGTAAGCCGAGATCGTGCCATTGCATTCCAGCCTGGGCAACAAGAGCAAAAAATTCCGCCCCCCCCCCCCCAAAAAAGACTTCGGTTTGAATCGTGGCCTCTCACCTCACCTCTTGAACCTCAGTTTCTCACTTGTAACAGGAGGGAAATACTTAATTTGGATGTCTATGGGGATTATGGGGTTTAGAAACAATTTATGGGGATTAGAAACAATTCGTGTCAAGTGCTTGGCACCTAAGAAGTGCTCAATAAACAGCGACTGTACCACACCTCCTAAGAGCCCTCAGCGTACTGAATTACAGAGTTCTTTATAAGTCTCCGGCGCTAGACTGCGAACTGCCTGAGGGAATCCTTTCTGCAGCGGGGCGTAAGCGGCAAAGACTCGGGGCTGGCAGGCCCAGACGGAGCGGGGCGGGGCTGGCCGGGCCCAGAAGGACGCGGCTCGGATTCCCGGGGGAAGGCCAAGCGGGGCGGACCCCATCTCCCGGAAGTGACGCCACTAGAGCCGGGGCCAGTCGCAGCGGGGCGCGCGCAGCATGGCGGAAGCGGAAGGGGGTTCTCCGCTCTTGTTGCCGCCGCCGCCGCCACCCCCGCCCAGGATGGCGGAAGTGGAGGCGCCGACGGCGGCCGAGACGGACATGAAGCAATATCACGGCTCCGGCGGCGTCGCCATGGACGTGGAACGGAGCCGCTTCCCCTACTGCGTGGTGTGGACGCCCATCCCGGTGCTCACGTGAGTCTCTTCCGGCATCCGCCTGGGGACGAGGAGGGCCCAGGGAGAACCGGAGTCCATGCGGTGTCCCTCGGCTGGCCCGGGCTAGCCTCCGGCCCCGACGCGCAGCAAGCCTTTTCCTCGGGTCTGGCCCGCACGTCTCGCCCAGTCACCAGAACCCCGCCGTCCATGCAGTGCCAATTTGTGCACACGGTTGGGACACGCTCCCTCCTCTCAATACACCTGGTGTAGCCGGGTAGAGAGTTGTAGGCCAACAGGAAAGGGCAAGTGGCTGGGAGACTCGAGCTGTGAGTGTGTAGAAGAGGGAGTCCTTCATCGGATCTGAGGAGACATTTTTATTAATTCACTGGTTTATTCACTCATTGAGCAAATGCTTACTGGTCGCTTACCATATTCGACATCCTGCTGGGTCTGGGAGCAGGAGTGGGACTTTGGTTGGGACCACACGAGATCCTGGGATGTCAACATTGGAAGGGCCCCCAGAGATCTGGGAGTCCAACCCTTTGTCTCACGTGCCATCTCAGTTGCAAAGCGGGTTTAGATCCCAGGTTGTCGCCTCACAGACCAAAGTTCTTTCTATAACGTCAGCCTTTGTCAGGGAAGAAGCAGGTGTTCTGGTACCACTTGCCGCCTTTTGGGAGGAGCTCTCAAATGGGGAGAGGTGGTTTGCCCTCCTGCTTCAGCCTTGACAGCTGATAAATATAACCTCTCCTCACCGTGCTGGACAGTTTGCCAAGCTCTTCAACATCCATCTTCTCAGAATTAAACATCCATTTTCTGGCCGGGCGCGGTGGCTCAAGCCTGTAATCCCAGCACTTTGGGAGGCCGAGACGGGAGGTCAGGAGATCGAGATCATCCTGGCTAACATGGTGAAACCCCGCCTCCACTAAAAAATACAAAAAACTAGCCAGGCGAGGTGGCGGGCGCCTGTAGTCCCAGCTACTCGGGAGGCTGAGGCAGGAGAATGGCGTAAACCCGGGAGGCGGAGCTTGCAGTGAGCTGAGATCCGGCCACTGCACTCCAGCCTGGGCGACAGAGCCAGACTCTGTCTCAGGAAAAAAAAAAAAAAAAAAAAACATCCATTTTCTAAGGTGGGTTATCTTCTCAGATGGTGAAGCTGAGCTGCTTGTAGCATTAAGTGTCTTGATCAGATTCGCACCCCAATAAGCAAAGGCATTAAGAACTCAGTTTTCTGATCTAACTTGCTCTTTGCCCTATGTTTTATCCACTCTCACCTGATGGGATAACTTGTTCCCCTGATATCAGTAACAGCCAAGTGGTGATGTGGAGAAGGGATCATTTGGGGCCTTAGGTGTTGCTGATTCTAAAAAGATGGTAGTTTTTGAATTATGTTAAAATACTTGAATTATTTTGTGTTTTCAAATACTTATGCACATAAGAGCATCCAACTGTTATTTAAAAATAAAATCTTGGGCCAGGCGCCGTGGCTCATGCCTGTAATCCCAGCACTTTGGGAGGCCAAGGCAGGTGGATCGGGAGTTTGAGACCAGCCTGGCCAACGCAGTGATAAATTAGCTGGGCATAGTGGCACGTGCCTATAATCCCAGCTACTCTGGAAGCTAAGGCAGGAGAATTGCCTGAACCCGGCAAGTGGAGTTTGCAGTGAGCCGAGATTGCACCACTGCACTCCAGCGTGGGCAACACAGTGAAACTCCATCTCAAATAATGAAATAAAATCTTAGGAAAATGTGTACATTAATTCATTCAGTGTTCTTTTAACACATGTGCTAAGTGACCCCTGTGTTCCCAGATAGTTCTAGGTGATGCGAATATACAGTGATGAATAAAGGAGATATGGTCTTTACACCTTTGATAGTTTAAGTAATAGTGGAAGGAGATAGACAGTAAGTAAGCTAATAAAAGAGCACCTGATAGTGATTAGTGCTGTGAAGAAAATGAAATATTAGTGTGAAAATAACAGGGAGGGGCCGGGGATGGTGGCTCACGCCTGTAATCCCAGCACTTTGGGAGGCCAAGGCAGGCGAATCACCTGAGGTCGGGAGTTCAAGACCAGCCTGACCAACATGGAGAAACCCCATCTCTACTAAAAATACAAAATTAGCCCTGGTGGTGGCGCATGCCTGGAATCTCAGCTACTCAGGAGGCTGAGGCAGGAGAATCACTTGATCCCAGGAGGTGGAGGTTGCGGTGAGCCAAGATTGTGCCTTTGCATTCCAGCCTGGGCAACAAGAGCAAAACTCCGTCTCCAAAAAAAAAAAAAAGAAAGAAAATAACAGGGAGGGATACTCAGGAAATGTATTGGTTTTCCTAAAACTGTCTTGTGATCCTAAACTCTCTTTGGCCTTTCTTATTCTCAAAAACACCATTTGTGGCCGGGCGCAGTGGCTCAAACCTGTAATCCCAGCACTTTGGGATGCCGAGACGGGCGGATCATGAGGTCAGGAGATCGAGACCATCCTGGGTAACAGTGAAACCCCGTCTCTACTAAAAAATACAAAAAGCTAGCCGGGCGAGGTGGTGGGCGCCTGTAGTCCCAGCTACTCCGGAGGCTGAGGCAGGAGAATGGCGTAAACCCGGGAGGCGGAGCTTGCAGTGAGCTGAGAGCCGGCCACTGCACTCCAGCCCGGGCGACAGAACGAGACTCCGTCTCAAAAAAAAAAAAAAAAACACCATTTGTGGCATGAGAGTGGTAGCAGCGTGAGGTGGAGGCACCACAATGCCTGATCATGTGGGCCAAAAGCAGCTCATAGCCCATTTCTGTTCAGATCTGTGTACAGGTGTTCATAAGACCAAGATGAATAAGATGCTCTGTTCCTGTCAAACGGTTCATGTTCCCTTCTGTGTTAGTCCATTCTTGCACTAATACTTGAGACTGGATAATTTGTAAAGATAAGAGGTTTGATTGACTCATGCTTCTGCAGGCTATATGGGAAGCATAGCGGCTTCTGCTTCTGGGGAGACCTCAGGAAGCTTCCAGTCATGGTGTAAGGCAGAGGGGGAGCGAGGCATCTCACATGGCGGGATTAGGAGCAAGAGGGAGTGAGGGGGGAGATAGTATACACTTTGAAACAACCAGATCTTGGGAAAACTCACTACCACGAGAACAGCACCAAAGGGATGGTGCTGAACCTTTTATGAGAAAGCTAGCCTCATGATCCCACCACCAGGCCCCACCTCCAACATGGGGACTACAGTTTGACAGGAGATTTGGTGGGGACAGATCCAAACCATGTCACCTTCAAAGACTCACCTCCAGCAGGAGGGAGGTAAAGGTCAATTAGCCATCGTAGTATTACTGTATAGTGATGATTGCAGAGCTAGGCATAGATGTGGCACAAGGAACTCTCACCTGTCTTGAGGAGAGATCAGAGGAGGAAATGGAACCCAAAGATCTGTCTACCCCCTCAGAGATGTTGGTAATCCTGCATGAAAAACCAGTTTAGTGCTCGCCTCGGCAGCACGTATACTAAAATTGGAACAATACAGAGAAGATTTGCATGGCCCCTGTGCCAGGATGACACGCAGATTCGTGAAGCATTCCATATTTTTGTCACCCTGGACTTCGAGCAGGAGATGGCCACTGCTGCATCCTCCTCCCTGAAGAAGAGCTACGAGCTGCCCGATGGCCAGGTCATCACCATCGGCAACAAGCGGTTCCAGTGTCTGGAGGCGCTGTTCCAGCCTTCCTTCCTGGGTGTGGAATCTTGCTGCATCCACGAGACCACGTTCAACTCCATCATGAAGTGTGACGTGGACATCCGCAAAGACCTGTACACCAACGTGGTGCTGTCCGGCGGCACCACCATATACCCGGGCATCACCGACAGGATACAGAAAGAGATCAACGCCATGACACCCAGCACTATGAAGATCAAGCTCATAGTACAAGTACTCGATGTGGATCAGCGGCTCCATCGTGGCCTCACTGTCCACCTTCTAGCAGATGTGGATTAGCAAGCAGGAGTACAAGTCAGGCCCCTCTATCGTCCACTGCAAATGCTTCTAAATGGACTGCGAGCAGATGCATAGCATTTGCTGCATGGGTTAATTCAGAAGTATAAATTTGCCCCTGGCAAATGCATACACCTCATGCTGGCCTCACGAAACTGGAATAAGCCTTCGAAAAGAAATTGTCCTTGAAGCTTGTATCTGATATCAGCACGGGATTGTAGAACTTGTTGCTGATTTTGACCTTGTATTCAAGTTAACTGTTCCCCTTGGTATTTGTTTAATACCCTGTACGCATCTTTGCTTTCAACCCTTAGTACATGTGGCTCGGTCACTGCATGGTAAGGTCAGAACGTGCTTGTGGAAGACAAGTCTGTGGCTTGGTGAGTCTGCATGGCCAGCAGTCTCCAATCTATGCGGGATATTAATATATCATGGCTGAGTGTTCTGGGATTTCTCTGGAGGCTGGCAAGGGCTCCTGAACCAGTTGTTTCTGTCCTGCGGGTCTGTCAGGGTTGGCAAGTCCAAGCCATAGGGCCCAGTTTCCTTTCTTAGCTGATGTTTTCCTGCCAGAACACTGTGGGCCGTGGAAGCGGTTTGCATTTACACCTGTAAATATATTCCTGGTTCTAGTTTATGTAAGGTTTTTTGTATGCAATTCTCAATTCTTTAAAGAGATGAGAACAGATTTTGTTTTTCTACTGTTACGTGAGAACATTAGGCCCCAGCAGCACGTCATTGTGAAGGAAAAATAAAAGTGCTGCAGTAACCAAAAAAAAAAAAAAGAAAGCCATCCTGGCTAACACGGTGAAACCCCGTCTCTACTAAAAAATACAAAAAAAAACTAGCCGGGTGAGATGGCGGGCGCCTGTAGTCCCAGCTACTCGGGAGGCTGAGGCAGGAGAATGGCGTAAACCCGGGAGGCGGAGCTTGCAGTGAGCTGAGATCCGGCCACTGCACTCCAGCCTGGGCGACAGAGCAAGACTCCGTCTCAAAAAAAAAAAAAAAAAAAGAAAGAAAAACCAGTTTAATGGCTGCTGCTACTAAAAAAACAGCTAGATTAGATGCTTCCTCTGTCCTAAACATTGTATGTTCACTCACTCAATCCTTATGTCAACCTATGAAAATAGATACTGTTGTCCCCATTTTATAGATGAGGAAGTAAGGCTTAGAAGCCAGTGTGGGGCTTTTTTGCTGAGTTAGCCTACCTTCCCAGATTGAGCTCCAGGGTGAGTGAGTCATTTATTCATTCATTAAATCTTTATAAAGCACCTATTATATACTAGATCCTGAATAGAAGGTAGTCCACAACGCGGCTCTGGACCTGCCTTCCTGGAGCTTCCAGGCTGACAAACCACTTTGAAGGTTTCTTCTCTGGGGCTTCCAGCCTTTACTCTGATTTCCATCAGCTGCTGCCAGCACAGCTGTGGCATGTGGAATCCTGGTTGGACCCAGACTTCCTCCCAAGCAGATGAAAGGAATGGGGCAGAGATGGGGGTGGAGGGCAGTCCTGAGATCAGGATGAGCTACTTTCCCATAATCCTGAGTGTTCATCCTGTGGCCTATGGATCTTCTGCAACTTATTCTATGTTAGTGCAGTCAGTCAGATAGTGCTTATGTATTGAATACCTCGAGATGACAACACTGAGCAGCTGCCAAGCAGAGGCAGGGTCCTAGGCACTGTGTAAATGGATAAGTCTATCCATTTAATCCTCACAGTAGCTCCTCATTAAGGTAATTTTTACTATCCACAGAGAGATGAGAATGAGTAACTTGCCCAGAACAAAGTCAAGCCTCAACCCAGATGATATCTGAGCATGACTTCACTCTTGGTGTGTGTTTGTTGTTTTTAATTTTTATTTGTTTGTTTGTTTATTCATTTATTTAGAGACAGAGTCTTGCTCTGTCACCCAGGCTGGAGTGCAGTGGCGTGATCTCAGCTCACTACAACCTCCACCTCTGGGGTTCAAGTGATTCTCGTGCCTCAGCCTCTCGAGTAACTGGGACTACAGGCACACATCACCATGCCCAGCTAATTTTTGTATTTTTAATATAGGCAGGGTTTCCCCATGTTTGCCAGGCTGGTCTTGAACTCCTGACCTCAAGTCATCCACCAGCCTCTGCCTCCCAAAATGCTGGGATTACAGACGTGAGCCACTGAGCCTGGCCTTGGCTTACTGCAACCTCAACTTCCTGGAATCAAGCGATCCTCCAGCTAATTTTTAGATTTTTTTTTTAGATACAGAGTCTCACTGTGTTGCCCAGGCTGGCCTCAAATTCCTGGGCTCAAGCAATCCAACTGCCTTGGCCTTCCAAAGTGCTAGGATTACAGGCGTGAGCCACAGCACCCAGCCCCTGACTCCACTCTTAAATGCAGGATGTTCATTCATTATTTAGTCAACAAATATTTAGTGAGTTGCAGCTATATGCAGGCACTGCCATAATAAACAAGACAAAATCCTTGCTGTCTCTGAGCTTATGTGCTAGTGGAGAGACAGCATGTAAATAACTGAGATAATTTTGGATAGTAGTAGATACTATGAGGGAAGTAAAGCATTGTAGTGGAATCTGGGATTGGGTGGCTGTGCAGGAAGACACCGTTCAGGCAAGACCTCCGAAGCTGACAGTGAGGCTGAGGCCTAATCAGTGAGGAGTTAGCTGTGCCATGCTCTTGGGGAAGAGTGTTGCAGACGGTGGAGAGGGCAGATACAGAGAAAGCATGGGGTGGGAGGATTCGGCATGTTTGAGGAGCCACAAGCAGGCAGTGTAGCTAGAGAGGGGAGTGAGAAGAGGATCGAGGGATAATTACCACCACAGTGTTGGAAGAAGTTTGAAGTGTATTATAAATGTAGTAGGAAGCCATTAATGGTCATTGAGCAGGGGAATGATGGAATCTGAATTCAGTTCTCAAAAGACCACTCTGTCCCCACCATCCTCTCAAGCGCTAAAGCGGTAGACCTGGAAGACCCCTGTCCTGTCAGTCGTAAACTCTCCAGTCTTCATTTGAAAGATCTTTTGAATCCATGTGCTTTTCACCACCCTGCCCCTGATCCTCTAGTCAGGACCTCCGTCATCTCTTGCCAGTGGTACAGCAGTGGCCCCTGAGCTGACCTCTCCCCCTTTCATTCTTGCAGGCACATGAACCACTTTCTTGCTCTGCAGTGGTGTTTTCTGCCTGTCAATGTTCTGTCCTTTCACAGGTCAAGGTTAAAAGTCACCTCCTCTGTGAAATCTTTACTGACTCCACCCCAGTCCCCTGTAACTGCTTTTTTGAACTGCCTCTCTGGAGGCTTGGCCTCCACCCCTAGCCAGGTGCTTTGTGCTCGTGCCCAGACAGCATTGAGGCCAGGACCTGGCCACTGGCCCTGTGAGTTCTCCTTAAACTGGATCAGTCTCTCCAGCACCCAGGTCCTGTAGGGCCATGGTTCTTAGAACGCAGACAGGTCTGGGGCTCCTATGTGTGGCATATTGGGGTGCATCTGGGATTTGTTGTTGTTTTTTAATGCCCATGTTTTTTTAAAAAAGGAACTTTTATTTCCTGGCATACACCATGCTTCTGTTCCAATTTCTACCCTTGCACATTCTGTCTCTTCGTTATTTTCTCAGGGAAGCCTTTCCTGAACTCCCCCACCCACATTGGTGTCATGTCCACTCACCTTTTTTTTTTTTTTTAACTTTCTTATTGAGGTATAACTTTTGTACCAAACGGTGCACGAATCTCAGGTATACAGCTGAAAGAATTTTTGCATATCACACACTCATGTAACCACCACCCAGACGGAGGCTAGAAAGCATTGCCAACACCCACAGGACCCCCTTGTGCCATCCCAGTCAGTTCTACCACAGATTCCACCCCGCTGTGGACCTCTAGCCGTAGATCAGTTTTGCCTTTTCTTGGACTTCGTGTAAACAGAGTGCTGTGTTATGTTCTTTGTGTAAGATTTCCTTCATTCACCCTTATGTCTGTGAAAGCCTATGTTGTGTGTATCAGAAGTTACACTCCAGGGGGGAGGGGGGAGGGATTGCACTGGGAGTTATATCTGATGTAAATGACGAGTTGATGGGTGCTGACGAGTTGATGGCTGCAGCACAACATGGCACAAGTATACATATGTAACAAACCTGCACGTTATGCACATGTACCCTAGAACTCAAAGTATAATAATAAAAAAAAAAAAAAAAAGAAGTTACACTCCAAAAAAAAAAAGAAGTTACACTCTTTTTCATTATTATGGACTATTTCAATGTATAACTATACCACACTTATTCATTGTACTGTTGGACATTTGGATTCTTTATAGTTGTTTTTATCAATTTTATTGAATTATAGTTTATATACAATAAAATGTACACATTTTAAGAGTACAGTTCAATGAGTTTTGGCAAATGTTATTTCCCAGGGGTGAGGGCAAAGAGGGCTCCAAAAGTGAAGCTGCTGAGGCATAGAGTATAGTGCCAAACTTTTCCCCAATGGTAGAAACAGTCTGGGCGCGGTGGCTCACGCCTGTAATTCCAGCACTTTGGGAGGCTGAGTCAGGCAGATCACTTGAGGTTGGGAGTTCGAGACCAGCCTGGCCAACATGATGAAACCTCGTGTCTGCTAAAAATACAAAAATTAGCCAGGCATGCTGGTGTGCACCTGTAGTCCTAGCTACTCAGTAGGCTGAGGCAGGAGAATTGCTTGAACCCGGGAGGTGGAGGTTGCAGTGAGCCAAGATTGTGCCACTGTACTCCAGCCTGGGTGAGAGAGTGAGACTCTGTTTAAAAATAAATAAATAAATGGTAGAAACAGTTCATCCCTCCCACCAGCAGCGAATGAGAGCTCTGGTTGTCCCTTGCCCTCACCTGCATCGGTGTTGCTGTCGTTTGAGTTACAGCCGTCCTGGTGGGATGTCGAGGTATCCCATTGTGCTGTCAGTTTGCAGTTGCCCTTGTCTGTGCTTCCCCAGCCCTCTGAATCACCCGAATGGCCATTCATCAACGAAACGTAATATTCACATGCTTCTGTGCAGTATGAAGTGTCCCCAGCATCTGTCTTAACTGGCTGAAAGATCCCCTAAGCTCTGTCCCTTCCCCGTCCTTTTCCTCACAGGTGGTTTTTCCCCATCATTGGCCACATGGGCATCTGCACATCCACAGGAGTCATTCGGGACTTCGCAGGCCCCTACTTTGTCTCGGTGAGTCCCCATTCTGCCCACCCTGGGGGATCCAGGGTTTAAGTGGAAGGCTGTCCTGTCTTGCCTGCAGGCTTCCTGTCTCCCCAGATCCAGGAGAACGCAGATAACCCGCAGTCCTGGCCCTGGCCCTGTACCCCTCACCAGTGTTTGACCCCTTTCCCCCTTCTCTTGCCTCCAGGACAGGCCGGGAGGGCAGTGTGGCCAGAAGGATTCTTAAGTAACTGACCCAGCCCTTTGCCCCCACCCCTGGGGTACCGAGACATGGGTAGGGATTAGAGGCAAGAGTGGAGAGTCAGACCATCCAGGAACCACATCTCTGGACCTTCAGAAGGTGGGAGTCAAGGTGGGGGGACAGGGGAGGCTGATACGGTTCCCTGGGTGTGGTCATGGAGAAGAGGGGGTGGGGCTTTAGAATGAACCAGCTGTGTTCTCAGGTCTGTTCCCTGGGGATGTGACCGAGACTGGTCCAGTGGGCCAGCAGCAGAGAAGCACGCACCATCCTGTCTCCAGGTGTCAGAGACTGGACTGAAGGGGTGTGGTGGCACCAACCTATTTATATTAGTAGTTGTCATGATCATCTTAACACGACAAAGGTCTGTCACTTTGTACTTAAAAATACTTTC